ATGGGTCAGGTATTGATGGCTTCAGTATGCCTTCTGCTGATTTACTTCTTCCTAGGTTATCCAGCAGCCACAGAGCCCCACTGCTAATCACTTGGCCCAGGGACAGTCCTGCTTTGTGGTGCAGACCAAAGAAATGCTTTTGCTTAGCACAGCATTCAAAACAGAGCAGGATTAAGTACTGGGATTGTTTTAATGAGGCTTCATCTGAGTTTCTCAGGAGATGTATCTTCACTGAGAGCTGAATCTGCAGTCTTCTCTTTTGTCACATTCATCCTCTTTTCCCACCAGCTGAACTCTTAAATTATTTTGCCAATCTCCCAATACTTTAGTATCCACTTTGCCCTCAGGCCAAGTGGCTTCTCAGAAGAATTCACTGAGGCTGCTAGAGGCAGAATCAATTCCAGCATGACTTTAGATGTGCACGAAACAGGACTGCAAGAAATTGTGCTGTCTGTCTTGCAAGGGGAAATGATTGTGTGGTGAGCTATCTTCAGAGGGAAATTGCTTAAACAGTAAACATTACATAGGGCCTTCTGCTGCTGCCATATGTTACCAAAGATAGTTAGAGGGTCTGTGTACACCACAGACTGCACTTCATGCAGGGGAACTGCAGTTCTGAGGTTTGTTTCTATGTGCTGATGCAGTTCACATTAGACAAAGATGAATTACCATAGAGAATATCAAAGAACGTAAGTTAGCATGGACAAAGTTAGTGCAACAGACTGGTTCCACCCTATTCTAAAGGAAGAAGATAAAAATGAACTTAACCTCAGCCAGTCAGGAAGAACATTTCCAGTTCTTTCTGAGTACTGAGGAATGGGAAGGATTCTCAGCCATCCTGCTTTCCTGTTTTATTTGGCCTGATTGTCTCCCTTCACACACCATTCACACATCACAAGTAGGAAGCCAACTGAAGTTACTTCTTTTTTTTGTGCTACAGGTTTGCCTTGCCCTTGTGCTAAAGAGTGCAGCTACAGTGTAAAAGTAGATTCCCACAAGATTAGAGACAAAGAGTGCAAAGGAAGACACTGGATTGGTCCTCATTTTCCACTTCACCAGAAACAAAGCATGAGGTTATGGTACCTCATTATAGACACCGGGGACGCATGTGATCCCTAGTCAAGAAACTTAACTTAGATTAGAAAATAATAACATTATTTTGACTAACTTATTCCATATGGCTACTTGATAAACATGTGGGATACCATTATTTCTTTGACCTTCTGTATTTTCACTGCTTTGAATTATATTCTGGCAGTGGAAAATCACCTCTGATAAAACTAAAAGTCAACGGTACTTTTCTAACTTCTCCAGATAAGTTTTCATCTGGAATGTCTCATACAAGCTGTTGCTTACACACAGCCCTTCAACATCATTTTAGGATGAGTATTTTAGTATGTTCTAAATGCAGGGAAAGCCTGGGATTTTTGATTCATTGTACTGGACAAGCAGTTTTTAGCTGCACTACTTTCAAGTGACTGCCTGCCTAAAACATCTTGAGGGAATGGAAAACACTCAGCACATTAAGTGTATTTAAAGCAAAATGAATTCAGTTATAGCAGCATTTAAAGTATTTTGCAACTAACTGCAATTGAGTGCATACATTTCATTTGCAAGTACATACGTTGGAAGTACAGACAGAATGGATGGATATAGGCAGAGGCGAAGGAAAGTGGAGTACAAAGGAAATGATTTTATTGACTTCTTTCTCCTGAATATCATACACCCATGCTGCTGCCAAAAGGGGCTCCACATCCAGCCACCTCAGCTCCAGGCACGTGGAACAGGCTTTGCTCTGTGGGAAATTATGGCAGAGGGGAGCTTCCTTTTGATAAGCCTTGGTAACTTAAAGCCTCAAGGGCCTTCCTGCCCAGCTGCACCCCTTCAGCCCTCTGCCGCTAGGAGATAACACAGGAAGCACTGGGAGTACCATCTCCATTGATTCTGCACCAGGTTGGCAGCACCAGCTCTTACATGCCTTGTCTGGGATCGGCTCAGTTCAAGGCAGTTAGTTTGCCCTTTGCTGAGCAGGTGTACATCCGAATCTGTCCTTCCAAAGATGACAGGACTCCAGGAACTGAGATGTTTAGTTTACTTTCTTTGAGATCTGTGGTTCAGTTGCCAGTAACACTAATAGAGTCGGAATATAAATCACAGTGAATGTAAACCATTTGGGTTTCAGTGTGCTGGGCAAATATCCATGTAGAAAGAAGGGCAATTAAATCCTCTTGCATTATAAACCTTACAGAATCAGGCTCTGGCTGAGGTCTTACACATATGGGAATTTTCTCTGGTGAAGTCTGATGAGTCGTAGTGCTTGTTGCCAATAATGTGGATAAATAAAAGGCTTAACAATTAGAAGAGAAAGGAAACAAAGATAATACACCTGTCAAACTTGTTGTATTATTAATGTGCAAGGGAAAAAACGTTATGCTTGTGCATGCTGTTGCCCTCAGTACCAGCTGTTGACTGTGCACATGAATCCGTATTTTACATGAGCTGAATGGCCTTGCTGCCAGCAAGCCCTCCAACAGGCAACATTGATAACAGCAATCTACCCACACTCTATACAATTCCAGCTATTCTTCGAATTAATAAAAATGCTTAATAAAGCTTCATCTCTCATTTGCAAAGAAAACCTTCAATTAATGTTAATCAGCATCCTCAGAATGTGATCAGGCTGGGTTTGTAGCTGGATGCGCCGAAACAGTTCAACTGGCAGATGGAGCATTTTCCAACTATTTTAATTAATGAATGCTCATTTCAAATGTTAATGCAATTAAATAAATAGGCAAAACAAATAAAAATAATATACATTATGAAACTGCCACTATCAGAGGAAGTTTTGAACAAAAAAGTGAGCCTTGCTCAAACCCAAGAAAAGCCCAGCCATCCTCTCTGCTGGCTATGTAAGCTCTAATAAAGACAGGGCTTGCTGTTGTTGCTTGCTTTTTTCAACTGTTTCTCAGGCATTGACATTTATATCACTTCCATTTTAACCTGCTGGCATCAACTGAGTCATTTCTTCTCCAAGCATTAGAACATTTTTCTGCAGAAAAAGAGAAAGGATTTCCTTCACGTGTTAGAGACTTGTTTCATGTAAGATTTAGGCTGCCCCTGCTTCTTACCTCTTTCTATTTGAACTAATTGCCTGATTATTTTTTTTTTAAGGCTTTACTTTCTGTGAACTTTGTATATCATAGCACTGATGTAGTCCCACATTCATTTGGGTTTATAAAGAGTTCAATTAGCCCCTTAATGCCTAGTTCAGTCACAATTAAACCTTCCCTGTTGACTCGGCATTGGTCTTTCCAAAGGCAGTGGAGGTGTTTTTAATTATTCATTTTCTGGTTTGTTTCTTAGAGCAGTCTCAGCTGTGCTTTATTATTCAAAGGTTAATGCAAACTGAGAACTGGGTAAATTAAATTTGTTTGGCAGCTAGCAACTTGATGTATTGCAGACACTGTGAAATATGGATGGGTGGGTGGATGGATGGATGGATGGCAAACAGTCAACACTTTGCTACTGTGACATTTTAAAAGCCAGATTTTATCTTTAAAACAATTGTTAGTCGTGTTACTATGGCTGATAGCTAATTAATGTTCCATAATGTTATATTCTCTGTAACCCATTTTTGTTAAGAAAGCACATAGTTTAGAAAGCCAAGAAGCATTAACAGCTATTAGAGAAAATTGATGTAGGTACCATGACTAATGAACTATGCCACACTAAGACACTGCATTGTATGAAGGGAATCATGCAGTCAGAAGTTTTAATGAAGGGAGCCCAAGGAATTTCAGGTGAAAGAGGGTTTTATTAACTTTCAGCGAACAAAATGAATAGTTGAGTAGTGAACATGACATGATGTCGTATAATAATTGTATGCCTTGGGTACATTGTGAGGCATGGAGCATAGCCAAGAGCTTTCATCTGTTCTGTGCGCAGGGTTATTTCACTAACCCTTGCATACTGTGGAAATCTTTATTGCAAATATAACACGAATAGTTTCACAAGAAATGCCTTAAGACAATACCACGTCACTTATTTAAAAAATCTACCAACGCTGCATTCCTTTGAAAAATATTGATCAGATATTCAGAAGTTCCCATCCCAACTGATCCTAATTAAAATTCATGTCCTGTTTCAAGGACTTGTATCAGCAGGCTGTGAACTAAAAAGAAGTCTTCATATATCTTAAGAGGCCACTCTGGGTAAAATACATCTTTCTGTGGATAAGCATTATGTTGTATGAAAAAAGGCTATGTAAGCTTTTGGAATAGAAATGCTCAAAAAATTTATTAGTTTTTAATTTGCTTTTTTCCAAGCATTGACTGTGTAGATAGGATTATAAATATTGTTTCAGTACAGTGTTTTTAAGTGAGAACTTTGAATTAACTTAATCCAACAGTTGAACCTGCTTCTTGTTTATGACTTTTTAAGATAGCATAAAAATTGCCATCTAAAGCAGCTTTCTGTACTAGTGACAGGAGTCCTTAGGATGGTAACTTAGAAAGTGCAGCTGCAAGGTCATTTGTACCACGCTGTCATTAGTACAGTATGTGCTGTATAATAATGTGTGTAATTACACTGCTACTGATGAGGTAGGTGGATGAGAAGGTGGATGAAAATAGGATGGCTTGTGAGGCAAGACGGTGACAAGGCATCTCAGCAAAGTCTCTGTATCCTTGTACAGTAAATACTTCACATCTGCCCAGTAGAATATTTGAGATAAGACCGCCAGGAATTTTTCTGTGCTTATTTGAATAATTTATAATGTGATTTTAATACTTCTTCTTGGCTGAATATATCGCTTCACTGACAGAGCTCAGGACACCAGTAAGATGTGTCATGCAGGACTAACTAATCAACTACAGTACTCAATTTTCAACCCAAAGCATTGCTGCAAATCCAGCACTACTACTAATAGAGTGTAACTGATGCAGTATTTTCTTAATTGTATGTGGTTATTATGTTATATTTTTTTTTGTTTTCTATTTTAGTGCTGGACCCAAAGGAGACAACATTTATGAATGGAGGTCAACTATACTGGGACCTCCAGGGTCAGTATATGAAGGTGGAGTTTTCTTCCTTGACATTACCTTTTCACCGGACTATCCCTTTAAACCACCTAAGGTTAGTAGGAGGATATTAAAAGTCTGATAGGAATCCTCTCCTTGTGATATTTCTAACATCTATGTTGGTATACTGTTGTAGGATGAAATATAAAACTCTCAAGGCAATAATGAATATTTAAACAGAGTATTTTGATGGAAAGAATTTAAATGATTGCCTAAAATTTGCTTGCATGTCTCTGGTACAGTTGGATAGATATGGATTGATTTAGCAAATGGTTGTATAATTTCCAGCAGTTATTTGTTTAATTTGGATTTGTTTCGACTATGAAGGTAATTATATTTGAGTTGCATCTTTTGTAAGCAGCTGAAGAATCTTTCCAGTTGACCCATATCATTCACCATGGGTCTGTGGCAGCCTGACAAAAAATGCACCTTTTGTGCTACCTCATACAAATTACTTCTCCAGATGCAGACTACATTGCAAAGATTTAATTGCTTTGTGTTTACTTTCTGGAAGGCTTTGGAAATACGTCAGCAAAGACAAGAAATTGAATAGAAAGTCAAGAACTAACAGAATTCCTTACAGATTTGTTTTCTAATGCTGTCAGTAATGATGCTAACCACAAAATGTAAAGCTCTTCCAATAATATGAAGCTGGCAGATCATTACCATGACAGAGAAGGCTTAGAATTTCATACAGGAAATATCTAGTGGTTTTGAAGACCAGAGAAACAAAAATGGGATGAAGAGTAGTAGTATGAAATCTCACTGATACCCAATAGTAATAACTGTTGAGAGAGGATGTCAGAATGGAATATTTTGGTTGATCAAAGGATTATTGCAAACCACCAGCCTAATGCATCTGAAAAAAAAAAAAGTAATATATTCCTAAGATGCATCATCTGACATTTCCTATAGAGATAAGGAATTGCTGGCATCATACACAAGACACTTGTAAGACTTCATCTGGAAGACTGACTACAATTCCTAACACCCATATTCACTAGCATAAGGAGAAACTTTAAAATTTACCCAGCAATGCTGTTAATAGAATAAAATAAATTGATGGGCCTGTGTATTATGAAACAAAGTGAAAATAAGTTAATTTTCCACCTTCCAAGTGTGAACAGTGAGGTTTTGGAACAGGTCCCCATAAGAGTTGAGGAAGCAAAAATGTTTCCCTGTTTTTGACACAGATGTGAAAGGTTTGAGATATCGTGTTTGCCTATAATAGATGAGATTGCAGTGAAAGATAAGTTGATCCCTATTTGGTTGCTGTAATATATTTAAAGAGGAGCATTTGTAAATAAAATTTTAATGCAGCGATGGTAATATTTATAGTAGTTTACATTATTATCAGAAAAATGTGTTAAAAAAAGAGTAAGAGATGTGTTCAAAATACCTGTCATTCTTCAAACTGCACTTTCCCAATCAATGGCCAAAAGATGGGAGAAAACCACGCGCTGTAGCAGATAGAGATGACCTATCTTTGTTTCCCATTTCTAGTGTTCCAGTTTAGGGAAACTTTGAGGTCACAGACAAATATTACAGGAGATTGTGCAATGAAGAAAAACGTTGAAACTTTATAACTGGAGGCTTCTGTCAGTCAATTAAAGCATGGAACGCTGAACTCAGGCAATGCTCTCTTCTCCTTACTTTCCTTCTATTTATTTATTGAGTATATTTGTTTACTGGGTATTGGCATCTCCACTGAATGGATTTCTTGAGCATAAAACAGAACATGAAGCTCTCACAATGATTCAAACCTGATATGTAAATAATCAAATCTGAAAAGCAGGGTGCAGGGTTATATTTTCTCCTTCTTTTTGTTAAATCTGTTGAATTTTAGGCAATGTATAGAACAGCATCCTTTTAAAATAAAATGTAATAGTCCAGTTTGCTGTTTCCCCATGAGACAAAGACTTTTTCAGTCCACCCTCAGTTGTGTTTCGCAAGTGTATTATTTTCAGACACTAATAATGCAGCTGTGCATTGCTTATTAATGAAATATGAAGCAAAGTGGTGGTGCTTACTCTGCTTTTTAATACATTTTTTGTCTGTCTTTATCTTGAAGCCAATTGTCATTGTGAAAAATGTGTGCATATAAATCATATGAAAATGTATTGCTTGATAAAGGACAAGATAGCTGATGATGCCATATTGTATTACTAAAAGGGCAGTATTTATGGTGAGAGAAATTGTTATCTATAAGAAAGTAATGAGTACATGTGCACAGGGGACGACCGTGTCAGATAGAAGTAATATTTCACTAGTGTATTTTGTACACGTAGATTCTTATTCTATTTACTTGAGCCACTGTCATAAATAACCCCTATTTTCAATCCCACTGTAAGAAATCTTAAACTGTTGCTACTTCATTACACATTTTTTTCAGGTCTTGTGAAATCGATTCACAGGTTAAACAGTTTGGGTAGTCCCTTGAATAAAGCAGTGTGGAAAGATGACTATGAGAGTCATAAGGTAGCTGCTGCCAGTCAGTATCATTAGGAGATGGTGTCTAAATATAACATAAGGCATCACCATACAGTGCTATCATGTCACTGTGCTGGCAACTTTTTGGCTTCACCATGAGATTTGTGATATTGAGACTCTCTTTAAAATCATTGTACTTAAGGTTACGTGAATAAATAATCTTAGAATTTTTTAAAGTATATCCCACTCTTCACAGCTCAAAAAAGTTTAAAAAAGGAAAAAAGAAAGAAAGAAAGCTAGAGAGAAAATACATAACTGTGGAACATACTGAGAAGGACATAAAATGTATCCCTAACTGTTGGCAAGGTTACCTCCATGTCAGTACATGGCAGAAAGGGATTAATTCATGTTTCTTGCTATGATTGAATTCATACATTCCTCCTGAGATTTCTGTGGGCCGCTTTCATCCCTCTTTTACCATGAACTAAGGAAACATTTAAATGAGTGCTGTCAAAACTGATCTACTAAAAATGTGACCACAGAAGACCAGGGAAGAAACAGAAACTGTATTTCCCAGATGTGATTACTTGACCCAGCTTGAGGTTCCAAAGGCAAATGCCTGTGTCACATAGTTATTGTTATTAAAGGGCCTAATCCAAAGAGCATTAAAATCTGCAGAAAGGTTTCTACAAGCCCTTTTCCAAATCTATTTTGAGATGTCACATAGTCTTACCATGCATGTGCATTTTGTAAATGCATGTTGGGAAGCAAAAAATAATTTCTAAATTTAGAAAATAAATTAATATATTGAAAGTAAATTCTGGATAAATGTACTTTATTTTTATTATTATAATTTTTTTTTTAAAGATGTAACCTTTTTTTTTTAATTATTATTATACAAAGGTCTTCATATTTTCTAGAGGATCCAAATTCCTTCCATAAACAGAGTTAATGCTTATTTTGACCACATTGATCAATTCTGCTTCGTATGGGAAAACCTGGATTAAAATTAAAAATTTGAGGGCACATTTGCACATGAAGAAAAGATGCTTCAACCTGTTTTTTGAGAATGAGGGGAATGTACAAAGTCATTTTCATTTGGTTTTCCAAATAGCTAACCTGCCTTCTTCAGTTTTTTCACCTCTTATCTCTAATCCTTGCACTATGTGCCTTATTTTATGTTCGTGGTTTTGTACATGCAAACATTGCCGCCATTGGGCTTCCCTTCAGTCTTTCCCCTACAGATCAGTTTTCCTTCTATCTGCCTGTGTAGTGATACCTGTTATGTCAGTGTCTTTCTAAAGCTGGGCCATAACCACAGTATCAAAATAAGTTTTTCTTTTCAACAAACTAGAAGATACCACGTGCTAGGTCAGAGCATAATTTGCTCTCATGATTTTTATTTTTCCCCTTTGAAGTCAGTCTATTTCAGTCTTTCAGCTTGGTCTCATGCCTTGAAACTGTACTCCCAGCTTTCTGAGCCAAAGTTCAGTGATCCTTCAGCCCTGTTTGCCTTGAGGACTCATGGCATTTTGCTTCAATTTGCCATCCCAGACTAACTTCGATTTCTCTGTGTAACCAGGGAATAAGATTTTTAGAACAACTCATCTGAGAATGGACAAATTAGCTTTGGCTTTCTGGGATGCCTCAACCAATTAAAAATCCTGGCTGGCCTCCACTGCAAGGAAGTTTCAGTAAGTCCATGGAAATGGCTGAGCAAGCCAAGAAGCGGGCAACCTGCAGAACCACCCCATCCTTACAGCAGTGCCCCAAGTCTCACATTGGATTTGCAAAATGTTGAACAATATATACATGATCTCTGCCAAAGGCCAAATGTAGTGAGATTTCAGTCTTGGTCATAAGGTGAAGAGGCTTCACTTCAGCCCCAAAATGAGATGTTTGCCTCCTAGTGCAGCAAGTTCTAGAATCAAGAAAGCTGCAGCCCATTCAGAGCAGCCACTTAAATGAAGAAAAGTGCTTAGATGGCTTGCCAAAGAAATAACGTTGCATTTCTCCAATGCTTTAATGACCCCTCTGCCCTTTGTGAAAATATCTTTGAGATTTCTTTTTCCTGCTATCTTCCTTTCCTCCCTAATGGATTCAGACAGTTCTCTCCTTGACTTTTACAGAGCAAAGCTCTCTCTTGTTTCATCTCTCCCTCTCCGGGGTTTTGGATGGGATACACAGTTTGCATATGTGGGTGGATGTGTATCTGTGGGTGTATGTAGATCTCTGAAAGTAATGCTTCCCATTTATTTTCATGAAAACTACAACAGATAGAGCTCAATAACACTATTTGATAGAGCAAATTCTCAGCTACAAAACGCTATTTTTACAACACAGTCATCACTATTAGCCATGCATTTTCACCAGCTATGAACAATTATACACACTCATAAAAATCTGCCCCTCTACTGCCATCTGTCACATGGCAACAACATGTAATGGAATATTGTTGGGAAGGTTCAACCTCTACTGCCGTACCACCAACATCTGCCTCCAACATTGGTCAGCAACATAATAAAATAGGAGGGATTACTTTTGGAGCAGACCTCACAAAACAGCAAAATAGAGTAACAGAATCATTAAGGTTGGTAAAGACCTCTAATACCATGTAGTTCAGTG